CCAGTGGAATCGACACATCTTCGTCGCAGCTGACTGGAACCCGCAGGTCATGTACCACGAGCATCCAGAGCTATACAACGAGATGGTCCAAGTCTACCCGCGGGTGCAGCAGATGATCAGGCCTGAGCCGCCAAACATCATCAAAACGTCTCTCGGCCAATATTGATGCTAGAGTCCATCTCAGAATTCGCGATGCTGGGGAAGTGATTTGGTTAATATGATGGTATTATTGCAATGTTGATCGAAGACTATCGCCAGCTATTTATTTTAAGTTTTAGCATATTTCTAGTATAGTAACTGGTTATTTTTACCTAGGTAGCTGACCTTCCTTCTCTTGGCAAACAGATGAGTTAAAAAACTGATCAGCCACCTATTATAGGCTCTAGGCAGCAATTGTTGGCCAGAGTACTATAGAACTGACTTGCTAAGTGTGGCGGCACGTGCGCCACGTCACGAGATATCTGATAACATGACAATACTCGTCGTCGGAACATATTAGCTAACAAACAATATAATCAATCTTACTATTAATATTATATTATTATTATTATTATTATTATTCATTATTGTCGGAGCGTTAGCGAAGACTATTGTATTTCAAATAGTTCAAATAATCGGTTGAAATGTTCAAATCTGTGGGTCCTTGAAAAATAGCTGTAAAATAGCTGATTGGTTGGAATTCTCGCTTCTAATTGATTACTAGAATAGTGCATATCTAGTGGCTTGGCGAGGATGACTAATCCCTCACCAAAATTATTATTAATAAGGTTTTTTAGCTTCTTTTAGTAGCTTAGTGAGGATAACTAAGCCCTTATTAGAAGGATGACTAAGCCCTTATTAAGAAGATAACTAAGCCCTTATTAAAAAGATGACTAAGCCCTTTTAAAGAAGATGACTAAGCCATTATTAAGAGAATAACTAAGCCCTTATTAGAAGGATGACTAAACCCTTACTAAAAAAAAGCTTTAATTCACAAGATTGAAAGAATCAGAAAAATTAAACTAAAAAAGGGATATAAATACTTTAAATTCTATCTTAGAAGACTTTTAAATTATTAATCTATTATTTTAAATATTTAAATTATTAAAATATTAGTAAAAATTATTATATTTTAAATAGTTAGGGTTAGGGTTAGGGTTAGGGTTAGGGTTAGGGTTAGGGTTAGGGTTAGGGTTAGGGTTAGGGTTAGGGTTAGGGTTAGGGTTAGGGTTAGGGTTTAGGGTTAGGGTTAGGGTTAGTTAGGGTTAGGGTTAGGGTTAGGGTTAGGGTT